GCACATACACACCATGGAATACCATGCAGCCATAAAAAACGATGAGTTCATATCCTTTGTAGGGACATGGAAGAACCTGGAAACCATCATTCTCAGCAAACTGACACAAGAACAGAAAATCAAACACCACATGATCTTATTCATAGGCAGCTGTTGAACAATAAGAACACATAGACACAGGGAGGGGAGCATCACACACTGGGGACTGTCGGGTGGGAACTAGGGGAGGGATAGCAGGAGGTGAGGAGTTGGGGAGGGATAACATGGGGAGAAATGCCAGATATAGATGATGGGGAGGAAGGCAGCAAACCACATTGCCATGTATGTACCTATGCAACAATCTTGCATATTCTTCACATGTATCCCTGAAAACCTAAAACACAATAAAATATATATTAAAATCATAATAACTTGGGTTTTTATACCATGATTAAGTTTCTAGACATTTCTGTAAAGTTTCCTCAAGTAAACTTTGTCTTGGGAAAATAACTTTTTGAGGTGGATTGTTCAACAGTTCAGAGGTTATCAATTTTCACATTTTTTACAGATGACAAAACTGAGGAGTGGGGAGGTCCTAATAGAGCCAGGACTCCAATTCCAGCCTTCTTCCTATATAAGGAATTCTGGAAAGTGACCTGGAAGAGTTAATACCCACCCCCACCCCAACCCAAGCCTTCCTTCTTTTCTGAAGGAAGTAACTACCACTTATTGCATGCTTAGCATGTGCCAGGCACTGTAACTACATAAATCTCTTTGACAGACACTATTATCCCCATTGCACAGATAATGAAACTCAGGCTCTGAGAAGTTTTAATAACTTGCCCAATGACACACAGCCAGTACATACCAGAGCCTGGATTTGGTCCGGGTCTGAGGAACCACAGAGGAACCTTGAAATGTTCCTGCAGGACTCAGGGGCCTGGGGAAGAAGGAAAATCAGGATTCTATTTGCAATGGTCACTTGGGCTACAGGAATGTTGGCTGTCACATGTGCTGGGTGCAACTCTGGAGTCACCTTGATGACTTGAAGTTGTTGACACAATGGCTACACATCCCCAGGCCTCAGGGGCTCAGAGAACAGACCACTCATACCACAAAGAAAAAGCAAAACCACCACCATGGTGCTACTAGAATAAAACCCACCTACCAAATGAATGAATGGACAAGCACACGAAAGAGAGTGTGTGTTCTTAGTCAGAATACCATCTGGCTAGTGATTGAGTCCTGGTTTTTTGTTTTTTTGTTTTTTTAAACCAGTGTTGGAAGATGCAGCATAAAAACTTGCTCCTCAAAATTGAGACTTTCAGATCAAACCTTAGTCCGAGTCTCCCACAGATGCCTTATTCTGATGGCTGAGCACCTGACACATTTCCAGCGCATCCTTCCTTCCATCTTCTTGCCATGGGAACCAAGAACTCATTTCACAGCCACATTTGTGGCCACAGAAGTTGCAGTGTGGCCTGCTGTGTCCATGATGGCTGCTCTGGCCACTTATAAGCCATCATGCCAAGTACTAAATTACAGACCTTGTGTCTGAGAAACTGCTGTTGTCACCTGGTCTCCAAATAATGAACCCTTAAGCCTCTGAGGAGCCGACACCTACTCCCTACCACACCCAGAATGAGAAAGCATCCACACCTTTCCAAGTCCTCCAGGGCAGTGGATCTAGAATGTGGTCCCTGGACCAGTCGCTTCAGCATCACTTAGAAACTTGTTAGAAATGCAGAGGCTCGAGCCTAACCCAGACTGCTGCATCAGAAACTCTGGAATTAGAACCAGTCTTTCAGATCATTCTAATACATAGTCAAGTTTGAGAACTACTGCTTAAAGCAAAGTGCCCTGAATCTCTTCCCCCCAGTAGCATCCTGTAAGGTGTACCTAGGAAGTCTCTTTCATCATCTCAACCCTTTTATAGCAGGGAAGGAGGCTACCTGACATTGCTTATCTCAGACAGCAAGCCTCAAAGTCCAATATCTACTGGCCTGGCAATAGATTCCTCATCTCATTCACAGGCTGGGGCTTGTTTTAACAATGGGTTCATTCTAACATTACTATACCCTGTGCTACCCAGCCATTCGGCAGGCCGTCAGTGTGCAGGCTGAACTGATCAAAACTGCCTCCTCAGTCATGAATAGAACTGACCCAGCTGTCCCTACACTCCTGCTCTTTTTCCTTCTTTTTAACATTATAATTGTCCAAGAGTTTAGATTCTAAAGATGGATGACCAATAGCATGGCTGTCAATATCACCGAGAGCAAGACCACTAGGAATTGACATCATATCTGGGAAACAAGGAGAAATAAAAGAGAGAATTTTCTCTTTGAGGAATTACTATACATCAGAAACTGCTCTGAGTACTGTATGTGAATTAAGACACACAATCATCATAAATCTAGGAAATAGATGTTGCTATGTCTGTTTTGCCAAGAGAATGAAACAAAGGTGCCAAGTAGCTAATGTATCCATACCTGTTGAATGACAGAATTCAAACCCGGGCAGGCTGCCTCCAGAACCATCGTTTTTAACCACATAATTAAAGTAGCATTTGTTGACTTCCTCTTAAATGCTGGTATGTGCCAGGCTATTTACATTTTCTCATTTAAGCTCCTTGGCAGTTCAACCAGATAGGTATTATTTTCCCCAGCTGACATAAAAGGAAAGTCATGCCTAGTTAAAGCAGTGTGTTCTGCAAGGTCTTCAGGTCCTAAGTGGCAGAGGTGGGATTTGACCCCTGGCCTAATGGCTTCATTGTGCCGTGCTTTAAACCTCCATCAGCTGTGCTGGTCCAGGTCTGTCAAAGGCATCAGGTGTCAAGACTGCCCAATCAGCAAGTTCACAAATGGAAAAGCAACTACTTCTGGGCCTGATTTTTGGATCATACCCAAGATTGACATCCCTCGCAATATCCCTTTTCCACACTCCATTAAAATGGCATTGCTTCACCTTTCATTTTTCTTCCATTTAAGTGGCTTTGGTTTTGATGGAAATTGCTGTGTTGACAGAGCTGAAGTTCAAGTCCCTGCCCTACCCCAGCCTGGCCATCTTACCCCACAGCACAGCTTGATAAAAGCCTACCTATTGTGGCTAGTGCCTGTTCAGCCACCCTGGCCTGTTCCCTTAGGGTTTGCAGGGAGTCCAGCCTCAGTGGTGGAAGAGCAAAAGGAGGAAGCATCTACGTTCCCTGCTCTCACTTAGCACCTCTCATGCTTTGGAGAGCCTGCCTAAAGGATGAGATGGAACCCAGGACTTCCACTTCCTCTCTGCCTGCAGCTAAGTTCTTGGGTTCCCAACCTTCTATCCTGTTTTCATTTCATGAAGCTTTTCTTTCCAGCTCTGGATACTCCTTTTCCTAACCTTTCTCTTGGGCCCTGGCTACTCCTTCATTAGACACCCAGCTTCCTGCCATCTCTCTGTATTGCCATCCCATGGGCCCATCTCAGGTGCCTCTCATGTTGTTAGGTTACTCATTCATGAATTAATTCAGTTTAGTGCACAAATGTTGAATACCCATTAAATAGGCCAGGAAGTGTGGGGAACAGGGACATATAAAAAAAGGTGACCCAGATAGTGCTTCAGGAGGCTCCTGGCCCTTGAACGAGGCTTCCTGGGTTTGAATCACAACTTCACCACTTACTGCTTGTACATTTGGTAAGTTATAAGAAATTAAAATAATTTGTGTATGTGTGTCAGAGAGAGAGAGAGATTTAAAATAGTCCCAGTACTATTTAACAGTAAGTGGTTAACTAATATTAGCTGCTGCTTATTGTGGTTATATGATTATATTCATGTTTTACTACTGTATAACAAATTACCACAAACATAGCAGCTTGAAAGAGATTTGTGATCTCACACTCTCTAGAGATCAGAGAACTGGGTATGGAATGACTGGATTCTCTGCTCAGGATTTCACTGGGCTGAAATCAAGGACTCTGCACACCTTCAGTTCTCCTCTTCTCAGATCACTGGTGGTTGGCAAAATTTGTTTTGTTTGTAGACCTAAGGGCCCATTTTTCTGCTGGCTTTTGACCAGGGACTGCTCTCCTAGAGTCTAGTGATTTGCCACGTGGCCCCCATAGGCAGCTCCCAACATAGCTGCTTGCTTTCTTCCAGACCTACGTCTAAAGGGTCACATGATTCATTCATCTCCCATTTTCACGCAAGGTAAACTGCTAAGTAACCTTATTTATATCCACAACAATCCTTTCTGCCATGTAACGTAACATAATCCCAAGAGCGATCACATACATACTCACAGGTTCTGCCCCAAAGGGGAGAGCACTATACAGGGCGACGGTCATAAGAGACCATCTTATACTCCTGCCTACCATAGTGGCCTCTGGCAGCAATAATTCTACACAAGCTGACCTGCGCTTGGTTTCTGAGAAATGACAGGGAGCCCTCCAAGAGTTCCTTTTCATAGTGACAATCTCCTCATTAGTGAAGTGTGCAGATAGCAGACTGGATTAGGGTTTCTGGTAGCTGCTGCCACAAATTACTACAAACTGGATGGCTTAACACAACAGAAATTTGTTCTCAGACGATTTTGGAGGCCAAAGTCCAAGATCAAGCTGTCAGCAAGTCCATGCTTCTTCCCTGAGGTCTTAGGCCTCTTTCTGGTGATTGCCAGCAGTGTTTGGCAATCTTTGATTTATAGATGCATCCATCATTCCAATCTCTGCCAATATCTATACATGGTATTCTTGCTGTGTGTGTCTGTGTCTAAATTTTCCCCGTCTTATAAGGACTCCAATCATTGGATCAGTGCCCACCCCAAATCCACTGTGATCTCATCATAACCTCATTAAATCTGCAAAGACCCTGATTCCAAATAGGTCCCATTCACAGGTACTGGGGGTTAGGACTTCAGTGTAGCTTTTGGGAGAGAGACAATTTAACTCACCTGAGGACTGCATGAGTGTATACCTCTTCTCCACATCAGCTGCATTTGAAGAGCTTGGCTTCCTTCCTTCCACCCAACGGCTTTTCTCCATGTGTCTCAGGTACCACGTCTGGACAAAAGGCCATGCACCCACAAACTTCGCCAAGTGGCGGACCGCCACCACGCCTTACCGGGTCGAGTGGGAGGCCGATTTTGAGCCGTATGTTGTCGTGAAACGTGACTGCCCGGAGTATGACCGGAGGTTTGTAGGCTTTGGCTGGAACAAAGTGGCTCATATCATGGAACTGGATGTGCAGGTGAGAAGAACGGAGTATCCACCTGGTGCTGTCGATGGGGGAAGAGGCCCAGATCCTAGAGCTTAAGGGATCCTTGGAGACAAGAAACCAGAGATATACTCAGGGACCAGTTGTAGCACTGACCCTCGAGGGTCTTGATCCCAAGCCAATGCTCCTTCCTCAACCCTTGGGTGAGAATTGAGTTCTTGGCCAGGACCCAGGTAAATGTGAATTTCCTATGACAAACCATTTCACCTCCTCATCCTCACCCAACCTAATGATGAAGACAAGCAGTGACCATTCATTACTTGGTCTTTGAGTCACATAACTGACACAAAGCATCCTTAGAGTTAAAATGCAGCTAATTATACCACCCTTAACTAAAAGAATGGTGACTTTGAGACTTACTGAGCTCCTACTTCAAAATAAATCCACAGAATTCTAATAGGTGAAACCAAGGATCAGCAAATTTTTCTTAGAGTTAAGATGCAGCTAATTATACCACCCTTTACTAAAAGAATGGTGACTTTGAGACTTACTGAGCTCCTACTTCAAAATAAATCTACAGAATTCTAATAGGTGAAACCAAGGATCAGCAAATTTTTCTGTAAAGGACCAGATAGTGTTTCGAATTTTATGGGACCTACAGGTCTCCTTTTCAACTACTCAACTCTGCCATTATAGTTCAGTCTGAGACATTCTTTAAACAAATGGATGTGGCTGTTTCAATAAAACTTTATTTACAGAAAGATGAAATGGACCAGACATGCTGTAATTTTTAAACTCCTCTGTTAAACAAACAAAAGCAAAGCTGCTGTGGTTAAATTAGAAGAAGGGTTCCTGGGTCTCTCCATCCCCAGTCTTTTTTCTTTCTTTTTTTTTTTTTTTTTTTTTGTTTGCTCTTCTCCAAGGCATCTCCTCCTGGTGCACAGTGCAAATATTTTTCAACAAGACCATCTCCAATTCAGAAAAAGCTAAGGTTGGATACTGAGTGCTGGCGGTTTGTGAAAATCACCAGGAGAACTTTTATTCCAATAGTTCCAGTATGTTTGAGAGCAGTCCCAGGTGATAGAGAAGCACTGGGGCTGAGAACTGCTGATGTAGATAGAAGATTATGGACTCATGTCCACGTTTAACAAGGCCATCAGCAGAAAGCTAAGAGGGAACAAGACATGCTCAAGGACCAGTGGTAATACTGATCCTCAGGGCTCTTGATCCCAAACCATTTCTAAACCCTTGGGTCTCATGGTCTCACTTGGGCCATGAGACCTGGACTTTGTTTGTTTTAGACAGTTTTGACAGAATTCTTGAAAATACATTGCATATTTTCTTTTCTTTGCCAATCGCATGTCCGAAACATAATCTCACCCTTTCCAGTACCTTAAGGAAGTAATGAGTGCACACCTGCCAGGTAATAACAGCCAAACCCGTGGGGCTAGTGCAGTTGGTGGGGCTCTTTGTCCCTCCATTAAATATGTCCCAGACAATTCAGCTCTGGGAGATCTTGCTTTTTTTTGATGTTTTTTTTCTCACTCATTCCTCGCCAGCAACTGTCTTTTCTTGCTGCTGTTATATTGCTCTGCCTATTAACAGCCACCTTTCCTCATCTCAGTTTTCCCTGAGTTTATTCTTATCTGCTCTGGACTTGGAAACTAGATAATCAGAGCTTATCAGACAATGTGTCCAAAATCAGAGTAAACAGATGTGAGTGAAAGTGTGCTGAGTTCTCTAAGCAATATGACCTAAATCTGGGTCACCTGTTTTGGCTATTCAGAGGCCTTTTATTTTTGGCCTGAGTATTAAGCTGTATTCTGACAAGTTGAGAATACTGGGTGATAATGTAACCTGTGATAAGGATGTATCAGGGAGAGGTTTGTTCTTGGTGAGCTTAGGTCCAGTGAAGCATTTGTTTTTATTTCATCTTGCCTTTCACTCTTTTTTTGTACCCTCTCTTGCACTCATCTGTTGAGGCTGTCAGATCGCATCAAGTCCTATGAGGAATCATAAACAGATGTCATTTAATCGAGCAAGAGAGTATTTCAGGCGTGTGTCATCCTAGAGTGTCGACGTGGGTGTGAGCTCACATCTATCTACCAAAAACCTATTCTAGGCCACAAGCTTGGCTCAGTACTATTCATGTGTCATTGGCTTCACTGTCATGGTCATCCTTCAAGGATATTGTTACTTTCATCTTAAAGATGAGAACGTGAAGGCTCAGAGAAGCCTTCTGGTCCAAGGCCATGGAAACAGCCCTGAATTGTCCCACTCCAAAGCTACTGTGCTGTCCATGTGCCACCTGCTTGTGGGTGCCATTGTATCAGGTCATTCAGTCACTCGCTTGGGCCTTCGTCATGCATGACCCCAGGCTCTGGCAGGTTCTCATGCTGCTCTTGTCTTCTTCCAGGAGCATGAATTCATTGTGCTGCCCAACGCCTACATGATCCACATGCCTCATGCCCCCAGCTTCGACATTACTAAGTTCCGTTCCAACAAGCAATACCGCATCTGTCTCAAAACCCTCAAGGAAGAGTTTCAGCAGGACATGTCCCGCCGCTATGGCTTTGCTGCCCTGAAATATCTCACAGCCGAGAACAACAGCTAGCACCAAGAAGCCCACCACTAGGGAAGAGACATGCTGCAGGGAAGTGCCACTCGCTGTTCGGGGCCCAGCCTTCAAATTCAAAATTGAGCCATGCTTTTATGGTTTGTTTTTATTTATCTCTTTGGCCCAGCCAAGCTGCCCTCACTACAGAGACCTTGGACAAGGATCCAGCCAGTCCCTCTCTGCCCCACAACCCTGCATTCCCAGAGGGTAGATAATGCAGCCCACCTAGATGAGTCTCTTCAAGAATGGGAGATCAGAGGGTGAGAGGGCGTAACAAGATTAACGTCTTACTGCAGAGCCACAAGATAAAGGCAGGGCTTTAGGATGTTCTGGTTGCTTTTTAATAATTAGGCTTCCCATCATTGGGGAGAAAGGGAAGTCAGGGTGCTAGGAGTTATTCATCCCAGGAAATAAAGCAAAATTGTCATTATTTAGTTGAAACATTCCCCTTTGCCCTGCACTGTTGCTGGGCATTCAAATGGAGGGCAAACCAATGATATGAACCAACCATTTGCAAACACCCAATGGGGACATTGTAGCCAGAGGGTCCTAGAGGTGGGGTTGATTGGTTTCCTTTTCCACAGTCACTCTTTTTTTTTTCCCTTGGGGGTTTTGTTTGTTTATTTTTGGGGCTGGTAATCCAAAATAGAAAATCTGATCCTTTAAAAGGCTCTAGAGGAAAATCAGCTGCCTCTGTCAGCAGTGGCCCAGGAAGGAGGTAAAGTATCTTCAGCCAATATTTAAACATGGGCAGCTTCCTTCAGGATGATCACCGAGGCTCCCATGACTTTGAATTCTCTACTCTCCAGAATCCAGGGGCTACGATGGGGACTGCGGAATTACGAGGGCTGACTGTTTTACACCGGTCACATTTTCTATTGGCAGTGACTGATTCAGGGGAAAGGGCTTTGAAGGAACTATTTCAATGCACACGTAAGGTACGAACCTCTCAGGCCTTTAGAAGAACTTTACAATTCATGCGAGCCCAGTTCTGAAGATTCATGTGTCCATCTGGAGACCTCCAAGAAGAACGTAACTGGGTTCCTCTGGTTCTTGCCTGCTTCACTGTGGATGGGAAGAGTTGACAAACCTCAGTCTCCCTTTGGGACCTGTCCAAGGGTAGGCAACCACCTTCACCTTCATGCAGATTGAGGAGACACTGGACTTTTTACCCATTTTCTTTAATCTTCAATATTAATGTTGTGTTTACACTGATGAGAACAAGAGTTAATGCCCTACCCTCTACTGGGCTGTTTGTATTGAGTTGCAATGTGACCAGCGAAAGCTGCATTTAATAAATGAAAGTACAGACTGTTTCTTCCCCATTCCCCTCCCACTCTTGCAAGAAGCTACTGAGACACATCTCAACATGAGAGTTAAATTGCAGTCGATAAACAGCAACTTCACGCTTTCTGTTCTCCCATTCTATTTTTCCTCATCATTTGAACTTTAACCTTTCTTTTCCTTTTGCCTGAAGTTAGATCTCACTCTGTCCTCTAACAATCTTCTTGTTTTCCATTCAGTACCTTTCTCAACACTGGAGCCAGATGTTGTCTTCCAGAGGTAGGCTAGGAGGGTAAACCCTAGTAATCAACTGTGAAGGGAACATCCCATCCTTGGGCCTGGTACTCATGTGAGAACCCAAAGCAATTGGGTTTGTAAGATCACTCAATGTGTTACATGCTCAAGTGAACATTTCATGGAAATTTATACAAGAATTAGGACTAATTTTTGCATAGATATAGCTAGGCTTATGAATATAGGTATATATATAGGCAGAGTACATGTATATAGCATATATATAGCATTTATAAATAAAAAGTGGCATATATGTATAAAGCAGAACAAAAAAAAATGTCAAAGTACACGTCAAAGTCCAGTTTCTTCAGTGGTGTGCTGGGCTAGCTTCTACATGCTCACAAGACCTTTACAGGCATATGTCTTCCCAGCTTCCACCTTCGGTGATCCCCCCTCCCTATCCCCAAGAGCCAGTTGTAAAACATTTGCCAGCAGCACATCATTGACTTTTTCTCTCCCCTGTGTACATGCAGACACACACAGATACACAGACACAGGGGCACTAATTTCTCTCCTTCCCTAGAGAGGACCATTATTCAGAGAGGTACACATACTGATACAGTTTTTGAACTAATCATTACCAGCTACTTGAGCCAAGTGAAAATCTGCTGGTAGCACTGGTTCCTCAGTGTTAAAAATCAATTCTTAATTCTCTAAAGCCTTTTACTTTTCAAATTTTTCTTGGCCCCTGACTCATGTCCAGCCACCTTGCTTTCACTTACATTTTTATGGGCATAGCTGGTGACCATATAATTAGTCATCTAAAGCAGGTCACTTCTGAGAATCAAAGGTGCTACTTGTCTACAATAGGTACAAACTAGAAGACGATGTAGCTTCATGTACAGTGAATTTATTAAGGCTAGAAACTGATACTCCACACCAACAGGAGAAAATCCTATTTCCCCAAAGACAGGTGCCTGACACTGTAAGCCAATCTCACTTTAGCCTGGAGCTCAGACATTGGCAGATGCCCAACTTCAACAGAGAGGCTGCCAACCCAGTGGAGGCTGAGGTCTGCAGAGCCAACTGCCTGCAGTCCTAGAACTTATATTGAGAGCAGCAGTTCACTGCCAGCCCCAGCTCAAGTGTGGGGAGCTGTAGCCATTTAGGCAGAGGTAATTGCAAAAGGTGTTGATTCCTTTGCATCAATTCTATGGGGGTAAAACAGACTTTTAAATGTGTCACACTCATGTTTTCATGTTTAAATAAGCCAGTACCATCTTGGCTTTCAGTTGAGAGGAAGGGCAAGGTTCTAGGGAACTGAGATGTTTTCATAACTGCTATGTGCAGAAGCCTCTGGCATGCAAGAGTTCACTGAACTCTTGGAGCAAAACTACAAAGTGTCTATTAACATTTATAGATGTGGAAACTGAGTGCATTCTGTACAGTTAAGTAACCCCCAAATTCACATAGTTAATATATGGCAGACCTAGAATTTAAACCAAATTCTACTTTGAATCCAAAACCACATAACCTGCAATGCCACTTCCTTTCCAATAAGAAGGAAACACATTTAACAGTGACAGACCAGAGAATTGGAACCTGTGTAGGAAGACTGTTGGATTTCTAGTCTTCTTCCTTCAACATCCATCCAGTAACACATAATCTAGACAGCAGTCTCTCCTAAGATACTCCAAATCTTGCTATGCTCATGGACATCCTGAAAATTCATTTGGAATAGACCTGGGTGATCTATATTCGTATTCAGACAACTGGTTTCAACACTAGAGGGTAGTAACTGATGCTCAGAATGCTCCTGGGTTGTTTCTTAGATTACATGGCTCAGGTAGAGTCACTAAGTTTTAAGCTCTCCTTTGTACCCCAGCTTGGCATGCTGCTTCAGAGTGATCTGAGTGTGTTGAGCTGATTTACAGAGCACTTATTTGCTGACTTGACTAAAAGCCTCTTTGTGCCCCATCATGAAAGGACAGACCCTACTTTAATTCTGTTCCTTTCAATGACTCTACTCTTAGAGTTAAGGCTTCATTTGTGGTCACCAGGCCTTTAGGGAGCTCTGTCAGTGAAAGAATTGTGATTAAAATCCCCTCTCAGACACAGCTCCTGCACACTCTTGGTAGAGATAATACGAACTACCCCTTATTGAACCAAGACTACTATGGTAGTTGGCAATGATGGATCCTCACAGCTATGTTATAAAATAAGAGGGGTATTACTATCCCCATTATTTAGCTAATAAAACTAGCTCCAAGAGAAATTATGTGACTTGCTCAGGATCACACAGGCTGCTAATGGAGTGCTAGAATTTGAACTAAAATCTGGCTGGCTTCAAAAACCCAGGTCTTTCCACTAAAATGTGCTACTGCCTTCCCAAACAATACTGGAATCAGCTTAGCTGCTAAGCTTATACAGTCATATATTCATGTACTTCACATAGTTTGTTTTCCTCTTTTTTTAAAAACAAGGGTTTTACTCTACAGCTCAGTGCCATTCAAGTTTATGAAATGTCACTTATCTGCCATATGCATTCTAACAGTAAGTTTTGGACCCACAGAATCTAATGTCAGACATACCATGATCTTTGTTTTCATTCATTTAACAAACCTGCTATTAATAAGCGTCCTTTAATTTCAAGGAATAACCAGTGATATCTAAAAGCAGGTAATGGGGGTGCCACAAAAATGTTGGGTTTCTGATTGTGAATATTTAGTGGATGTGGTCATTGGTTTGTTCCAACACATTCACATGGTCTTAAGAGAGAATGTCTTCTGGAATGAAATAATGCCAGTCAGTTCTGGGAAAGTGTTTCCCAAGGCGTGGTACTACCAAGGCCATCTGATCAATGAGGCCAGGACAATATCATGAAATGATTGACAGGGCTTACTGAGAGCAAAGCTTTGACAGACTCCTGGGTAAATAATGCTGCGGTGGTACCTGAAGAAAGAACTAAGGGCTGCAGTGACATCAGCAATTTCACTGCACTCTATCGTTTTTTTTCTGAATTCCCCAAGTAACTGATTGAGCATCTACTCTGTGGACATTATGAATGCAAGAGTGAACATGGTACAGTCTACTTTCATGTAAGTACAATTCACTAGACAGCAGAAAAGTAAACATAATGCCAAGGCTGGTTTCACCTTACGACTGTAACATAAATGGTTTTAGTTTTGTTTTCATTTATTTTTCAAAACTAAGTTTGAAAACTAAAGGAAAATTGCAAGGATAATACAAAGAACTTTATCCCTTTCATTTAGATTAACCAGTTTTTAACATTTTGCCACATAGTCTTCATCTTTTTTTCTGAAACATTTGAAATGAATTCTAGATACCATGCCCCTTTAAATTTAAATACTTGAGCATGTATTTCTTAAAAACATGACACTGTCTTGTATAACCAAAATACAAGGGTTAAATTCAGAAGTTGTTTTGTTAGTTCAGCGTTTTGAATGAAAAATAAGCATGCATACACAAGGCAGTGCATATGTCTGTATGCATATGTAATTCTTGGAGTTTATTATATAGCATATTATGTGACAAAATTTTGTGGCAGATAGTGTTAAAGCCACATTCAGAAGGTTCGCCATCAAGATGTATATATTTCTGAGATGATCCAATAGGTGGGACCCTCCTAAGGTAATGTGTACTGTAATAAGTCACTAACTTATTACCAACGAGTGATATTTTCTACCTGCTTACAAGTTTTATAACAACTATTAAGATCAGTTCAAATGCTTTTTGTGTTACAATGCATGTTTATTATGTGTGGATAGAAGTGTGAACCTTCATTGTTTTTTCTTAGTTTCTCAGATCTACAATGAGAAAAGATAAATCACAATGGTGATGTAAGATACTTTGACTTTTGGGGACTGGGCAAAGTGGCTTACATTTGTAATCCCAGCACTTTGGGAGGCCCAGGTGGGTGGATTACTTGAGGTAAGGAGTTCGAGACCAGCTTGGCTAACATGGTGAAACCCCATCTGTACAATACAAAACTATTTTCTAAAAATACAAAAACTAGCCAAGCATGGTGACAGGTGCCTGTAATCCCAGCTACTTGGGAGACTGAGAGAACTGCCTGAGCCTAGGAGGCTGAGGTTGCAGTGAGCCAAGACTGTGCCACTGAATTCCGAGCCAGGGCAAAAGAGCAATACCCCATCTCAAAAAAATAAAAAATTGACTTTCCCCAACTTCATTATGAATGGGCCCACATAAACTTGTTCATTAATATTCCAGCTTTGAATCTTCGCCCTCCATAAAGATTAATACTTAGGGAAAACCGAGCAACTTGGTTTCTTTCCCCATGAATGTTAAAATCAACGTTTAATATTGAGAAGATCAGAAACATCTTCTACATAAGTGATAGAAAACTGCCTCACCCTACTAATACCAATACCAATACAATGGGAGAGCAAAGAGGCCTCTCTATGTGCAGTGGCCTGGCAATCGCCTCAAATCAAAAAGCTCCACTCAGAAGACTGAAGAAATGCCTCTGTTTCCTTGGTGCTGGGTCACAATTGGCTGATCACTCTCAGATCCCCGAACCCCAGGGAAACCTATGTAAGTGACATGTTCTGCAGTCTAGCGCAGCTTATAGTAAACAAAAGGCAATTCTGAGCTTCACAATTTCATTAACTCTGAGTTATTTGAACATAACACGTCTAATTCAGCAAAAAAAAAGAAAAGATGGAAGACCTTGATGTAATCCTGTCATTTGACAACAGATCTGCCTTCAACATTCTAATGTTTTTCAGAGCTGTCTTTAAGCAATGGCAGCTACCAC